TAGAAATTTGATTTTCTTTTTCTTTTTTTGCTATAGTTTACTTTTTCCGGGCAAAATTACACCAATGAATTGCAAATAAAATTAAATCACCTGCTCGGCGAAATCTTAATGTTAATCTAGTTGGTAAAGGCTAAAATAAAAATTGAATGAAAATAAAGATAGAATTTATGCCTAAAGAATATACGCGAGCATCATGTGGCATATGATCATTTGTTGAATGAGCACTATAACCTGATACAACTGAATGATGTCCCATTTTTGCACGTGATGAACGATCACTTATAATAGTTGTACCATAAGCTGATACTCTTGTTCGATTATCCATTGCACCTGCTGTTGATAAAGAGCCATATGGTTTTAAATGAAGAAGATTTTCAAAGAAACTTTTCGTTGGACGTACTGGTGATGTACTTATTGGTGGAAGAAAACTAATACGACTTTCATGTCCCGGTTGACTTTTCGAACGTGAAGCTTTAGGTTGTTTAGCTTTATCACGATAAAAATTGCCGGTCATTGGATTTGATAAAGCACTTGTTAACATATTTAAAGGAAATAATCAAACTAGAAAGTAAATACATAATAATGATAGTTAAATATTACAATATAAATATAAATATAAGAAAAAAAAAACCTTTTTTTATTAACAATGCTCAACATTGTTTTTAAATATGAAAAATTCTAAAAAAAAAGATTTTAGTATTCGATTTCATTCGAAATATCTGATTACAATTTTTACTCTCGAAATAACTAAAAATTTTGATTCGAAAAATAAAATTATATTTTTACTTACAATACAAATTCAGACGTCAAATCTATCTGATAAAAAAGTCTCTCGCTGTTATCTCTAATAAATTCTCACTGTTGTCGTTCGTCGATTATGCTTTTCGTTTCGTTGACATAGCAGTAACAACTACTTTTTTTAATCTCTCTTTTTTTCTTATACTCTTTTTTTTATACTTGACGTTGTCATCAGTGAATGATTGACAAAGAAAAAAGTACGAAAGAACGACACAGACATCGTTTTTCACTTGAATCCAACGAAAAAAAGAAAAGGGATACAACAAAAACTCTAAAAAGTAACATCAACAAATGAGAAGTATATTTTCGTGCCGATGGCAGGAAAAGTAAGTTGATGGCAACAGCAACTGGCTTCTCACTCACAAAGACAAACATATTCTGTCGCGAGACTTTGTTTCGTTTTTCTTTTCTTTCAGTAAATGACAATTCTCATTTAAAAATGACAAACAAAAGAATACAACGTTTTTATGAATAGAAACGGATCAAAACCAAAGTAAATTCTATTGAGATAAAATAAAAATTTTCAAGTGTTAAACATTAAACTGAAAATAATGACAACAAATATAGTCAATTACTGATGTCACTTGATTTTCACTGGTTTCTTATTGGAATGATAATTGAAGTTACATATAGGCTTCTTTCGAGAAAAAAAATCAGTACAACATAAAATTAACTTTATTTATCGATGATTAAGAATAATAAACTGGTGAGAAGTACTGTCGACGATCCTAACATTGTTAGTGTTGTAGTAACTATGAATGTATGTGTTTCACTTCAAATATGATGCAATTCAATGAACACTTGCAATTAAACTAATGAATTACCAGTATTTTTACAGAATAATATAGGCTAACAAAACCAAACAAATTATTGTAACGATGAATTCATAATTATCTTTGTTATTTCATCAGATTGAAAAAAAAATAAACTTCAAGGACAAATCAACACAACAGCTAAGTTGTTTGTTTAGTTAATTTATGTTTTATGAGATCAAACATTCAAAGAAAAAGTTCATTCAATAAGAAATAAACTTTTGGCATTTGCTACTTATTCAAAAAAGAAAATAATACTTGTTGAAATTATTTTTATCATAGTTCTGTTAAGAACTTTTATGTATTCATAGATCCTATAATTCGATCTATATAATTTTTAATAGAAAAAAAGAAAGTAAAATGTTTGTATTATAAAGTTCATTATTGAGCAAGGATAAACTTTTATATAAAATAATAAAAAGTTAGTATACAATATTGGAAGTTGTTTTGTTAAAATTGTATAAAAAAAAGAATTGTCTTGGTGTTGTTTATTGTACGATCATAGTAGCCAAAAATGAAAGAAATATAATTAAAGATGATGTTACTAATTGATAACTATTGTTATAATAAATTGAATTTGGATTTGAATATCCGTAACTATTGTAATTATTATTATTGGTATTTGTATCTTTATTTGGATACCAAGTATTAGCAGAATTTGGATTATATCGATTATTAGTATTACTAACACCCATATAGCCACTATAAGTATTACTATTTGGTACTAAATTGTTACCCGTTTGCACATTATAGCCATTGCTATTTGGTATTAAATTATTATTGTTACTCATTGGTCCACCATAGGTATTACTATTGGGTAACAGATTATTATTATTATTCATTTGTCCACCGTAGGGATTGCTGTTATAACCATATTGATTAGTATTTATATTTGATGTACCATACTGGTCTTTATTAGTTAAAACTTGATTTGTATTTGGTGGATAAGCCATTTGAGTATTGGATGAAGAATAAAATGAATTACCAATGGATCCTTTAAATATAAATAAAAAAGAAAAATTCTAAGTTTAATATTTATTATTGATAAATAACCTGATGAAAGAGGATTTCCATTTGTATCACGTAGAATTTGATTTGTGCCACTAGGAGAATAGAAATTATTTCCAGGATATAAAGAATTTGATGATGATTGATCACTTGTTCCATAAACTTGATTTTGTTGTGGTCTTGGTTGATTATAATAATTAACACTACTTAAAGAATTGTCTGCATATTGTGATGATATGAGTGGGTTACCCATATTATCTCGTGCATCAGCATTATTCATACGTATTCCTTGTATATTCGTATTTGAAGGATAATTATAACCTGCTGGTGCACTTGCGCCTAAGTTCGAATTTGTACCATACAATGATCCTGATGTATCGCCACGTTGACGACGTCGACGACGACGACTAGCATTACCATCGATATCTAAATAAAGAAAAATGAAATTATCATGTTGAAAAACAAAATAGATGCTAACCAATAATTAATAATGATTGTACAAGAAGTACAACAATGAATATATTACTCCACTGCATAATATCGTTTTGATTTATTAAACTATATATAATAATAGATGACTTTTACTTTTTGATTAGAAACAAAAAATGAACACGGACAATGATGTTGATACACTATTCACATGTAATAAGAGGTCATGCTCGATGACAGTTCTAGC